AATGCGAAAAAGCCAACAAGCCAATAACACAATCCAATGGCTCCAACCATTGTCCTCAAGTGTGATTCTCAGCATCAGTAGAGTGGACACTACATGTCACCACGTACACACAATATGTGTACTGCTCTACTATGCCTATGAAGCATTTATCAACCCTCGCTTTGGCGAACAAGCAAAACCATCATTTTGAGTCGACCCACCACCATTAAGGAAAACTCCAATGCATTTTAACCTCCCACTGGTAGAAGTGTACCCTTTGCTTTGGCGAACAAGGTTTCGACGAACAGTGGTTTGATTAAAATCATGGTGATGGAAGGCTTACGTGACTTAATATACTTTAATTGAGGGTTTGTTATTTAATGTCTCACCAGATTATTATCTTTGTTAGAATGACATTGGTTGGCATGTTATTCAACATTCAACCTTAGCATGCATTCTAAACAAAATATTAAAACGTGCCGGTACATGGCTCAACTAAAACCGATTTCCTCGAGCCTAGAGGAATCAATGGGTCACCTAGGGGTCCTGTAATAAATATCTCGAGTCTTCAAGTATGGTTGCCTCGTCCTTTGGTCCGTCTTCAAGTACATTACAAAAATATCATTTAAATTTACAATAAGAATAATTATAAAAATTCTTTACATCAATAAATTTAGAAACCTCGATTTACATTCGAGGGGAATGAGATGAGAAGAGAATGTACATTGAAAAGAGGAGAAAGGCAGGACACGCAGGCCCTAGTTAATAAATTTATAACCATACATACCCAAAAATTTAAAATATTCACCCTTAGGTCTAAGGCTCACGTACCGAGCACCATGCGATATACAAACAAGTACATTGCATACATTTAAAAAATAATCAATTTTTGAATTGGGTGGGTTTATTAATTAATTACCCTCTTTTATGTGCAGAATGATTATTGGCTTTATAGGTTATTAAAACCTGCAGATTGGTCCCTTCACGAAAAATCCAGAATTGGGAAAGCTACAGACTTCGCCGCGGAAATCCCCAATATGAACAGTTCGCTTTATTTTGTAGTTTTTGTGTAATAACACGAATCCAGATCAAATTGAATGCACAAACGTTCAACCAGGATATCCCCCAACCAATATAACATCCATCAACACATTATAAACCATTTTATCATTTGAATCATTCATCCAAAAATAGATTTTTCTGATTTTGTAGTTTTTGCAGATTTTTCAAAAATGATATGTTATCAACCAAATGCATGTTATAAATCATACAATAAACTATAGAAATTAATACTCGAGGCTCTGATACCACTGTTAGTGAACGACCCACTTACGCAGCTGAAAACAAAAACATAAATGACATGGATTGTTCCTTAGAACCAAGATCCGGGTATAATATCATAGTTTATACAATGCATATAAATTAAATCTGCAGAAAATCATATTCAAGGTTCAATAATCTTACGCACGTTTGGAGGCTCCTCCAACTTTGTCCTTGAACGTTTTTGCTACCGACCCAAGTGTAAGATCGAACCGACGTAGTCCACATGAAGATAATCGCAAGGAACTAAGGAGGAATTTGCTAGATCCCTCTTAACCTTAAGAAACAAGAAGAAAAATCAAAGAAGAACTTTGATTCTTTGCAAAAACAAAAGTGGCGTGAGAGTGAGAGTGTTTTGGGGTTGTGTGTTTTTCTTTTATAGTGTTATTTTACTTGCCCTATTCCCATATGGAATAGGCTTGGGCTCCAACCTAAACACCTCATGTTTCCAAACACCCCCTAATTAGATATTTAATTTAATTCATCATTATCTTCAATTAAAATAAATTAATATATATTTAATATATATATTAACATTTAACAATAATAATAATTTATTTAAATATATACGAACACATATTTAAACATAATTTCACTTATTTAATTTTTCTAATAAATTAAATAAAGGCTACGACCTCAGCAAATTTAATTACACTGTGAAATTACCAAAATACCCTTTCACCCAAAAAGATGAAACACCCTTCTTTCTTCCTGGCTCTTAAATTATCTTCTATGCGTGTGACCCATATGCTCCTCATCATACCGGCAGTGTGTAATATCGCGATTAACACCAATTAATCGTCTCATTAATACACAGACCAAGATTGGCCCCTAGCAAGGCATCATGGCCACCCGATAGATTCAGATTCAGATTCAGCAAAGCAGCTACCTGTCAACGATATGGTTACCGTACAATTCGATCCTTTCATCATTCTTTATCTCGACGAGACGAAGGCATAGAAATAGTGTCAACCTCCGGTTACTCTCGATATTATGTATTCAGTTTCTAGATCAATGACTTGTATTATAAACTGGATTAGAGCAACAACTCGATCCCACTGTGGCCACAGTTTTAGTGTCATTGCCATATACTGAATTACACTGTGAGATAACTTCTCCCATACCTAGGAGTGATGAATCCTCTGTCAATCCACTATAGTCTTGATACACTCCTTGATGCAGCCAATCACCACCGTATTTACAGCTCTAAATAGAACTGCTTAGGCTAGTGTCAAACTGCACCAATCGGTGCACAAGGCGCTCTGGTGATCTCAAGTCTAAGGATCACATGTACCACCATTCGTTAGACGATTTGTTCCATAGACATTGGGGTTACCATCCATATGGAATCCTGTGGTAGGTCAGTCTAGTGAACTTGCTGCGGTATATCCACCTACAGCAAGCACCCATGTGTTGCACCAGGTTGTCACCAAACAACCTTGACAAGTGAGATCAGTCACTGCCTCTTGACAGGGTCGTTCAACACTATGATAGCCTTACCGTATTATTTGTGCCCTTACATCAGAATAATACTGGGGCTACGGACGTTTCTAGAATGGCCACCATATGTGCTCATAAGGTTCTCACTATCAAGATTTGAAACACTTGATACCCTCGTCACGGTTCTACCATTCTAAGGACATAAATTAATATATATTGCAATAATAATGATTTATGCGACATAGAATAAAATGCCTTTTATTGATTAATGAACATTATTACAAAGAGTCAATTCTATAGTAATTGATTGGCTCTAGGGCATCTACTCTAACAATATATATTTTTCATATTTAATATATGGGTTTTAATATATTTAATTTAAATTAAACATATTCCTTCATATTAATTTTAATTAATATGAATCCAATTTTGCTAAAATTCCTCCAATATAATAATCCACCAATTGTTTTGTATTTCAAAGTTAGCATATGATGTTTACCATTCTTATTTCATACAAAACATCAAGATCGAATTAAGTGTAATGAATGAAACTAGAAACATATTGAATCAATAGAAAAATAAAAATCCCTTGAAAATAAATTAGTTACACATAAGCATAGAGAAATCGAACCTAAACACCTTCAAAAACTTGAAGTACAAGAGAAAAGATGAAAACCCTAGGTAAGATCTCCTCTCCTTGCTTCTCTCAAAGTTGAAGTCTCCCTAAAAAATACCTAAAGACATCCTTTTTTAGTGCTAGGGTTGTGGGAAAGTAATGGGAAAAATCCTATACAAAATAGGAGAATAAAATTCGGATTATTCTTAAGTAGAGTCCTTGTAGAATTAGGATTCCTGTGCTGACCCTCTGGTACTAAAACTAGAATATCTTCCTCTAGAAAACTCGGAATAATGAACCGTATAATTATATGTAAACTAGACTTCCAAAGATTTACAAAAATATGTGGAACCACTCCCATTTAATGCTAAAGAATGTTTAGTAGCTTTACAAACTTTCCATTTTCTGTTTGTTTCTCCTTAATAGCCCCTGCTGGAAAATTATTTGCCAAAAGACTTCCACTTTTTAGCATGAAAACTTCTAAATTTAAAGAAGACATATTAATTGTATATATTTGAATCATATTTTGAATGGTCCAAGAATCATCCCAATCTGAGGTCTTTAGCTCAAGTTATCGTAGCAACACTGAGGTATGTTATAGAACTTGCGTCTGCTTGTCTTCCATGCATTGATGTAACTTTCAGATCAATGTTTAATCATCTTTCAGATCGAATTGGATCAGACCAAAACACAAAAACTATATCCCTATCTCTTATCTTTCAAGCGCCATTACAATTAGGTCAATCGGAGTTGTGTAACTAAAGTTACACCAATTTTAGTGAAGCATGTTCACTCACGCTGCAGCATAAAAATCCTCCGCTGCAAACAATCTTCAAGTACTCATAACTTCTTCGTTTGAGCTCTGATTCTCGAACCGTTTGCTCCTGCATGACTCTGATTCTTTACTCTTCAATGTGAATGCTCAAAATTCTTATTTTTCAACACCTAAATACCTGAAAATTAATAAAACATATCCGTGATTCTAGAAAACAAAAGAAGTATCGAAATTAAGTAAAATTAGCAAATTAAACCTAATTCCCACACAACATACCCTTAAAATCACAAAGTATGAGTGCACTTTCAAGCACTCATCACCTATCCCCACTGAGCCTACTTCTAGTGGGCAAAATGGGTGAGATGGTGAGCAACCTGGCTCATCCGCTACAAGGAGTGAACGCCACCCTCGACAAGAAAGAGTGAATGAAACTCATGGGCATGAAGCTAGAAAACAAGCTTATCCTAGGAGGCAAGCTAGGAAAGAGCCCATGGGGGAAAAAGTCAATAATGGTCGCTAGGGAGAATCTTACACTCAGCGACGAAATGCCCAGCATCGACGTGCAGCGGAGAAAATCTTTCCTTGCCATAACGAAAATTGAAATTTAAAAATGCACTATGATGGCAGTGAGTTTCTTATCATGGTGAAATGTCTTCCCTGCTGCGGCAAAGTTTGGAAAATTGTTTCTTCATGCCAAAATTCAATCTTTCAACTGAAACACAAAAAGAAAACAAAATTTAAATACTTCCAAAGTCAAATAATACATAAACAATATGTAGAACAACTAAAATCACACAAAATGAAAAACGCTTGGGTTGCCTCCCAAGAAGCACTTGTTTATAGTTGAAAGCTCGACTTTCTCCTTGGATCTCATTCCAGAATGTCAAGTCTGATGGGCAACGTCTTGCAACTCAAAGCTCCATTAATGTATGGCTTCAGCCTCTGCCTATTGACCTTAAAAGTGCCTTTTTGTTCATGAGAAATGTCAATTGCTCCATATGGGTAAACCTTAGTAACTATGAAGGATTCGAACCATCTTGACTTAGGTTTTCTGAGAAAAAGCCTAAGTCTTGAGTTGCAGAGCAAATCTTTCTGACCCACTTCAAATTTCTTCTTCATTATATGCCTGTCATGCCACATTTTGGTTTTCTCCTTATAAATCTTTGCATTTTCGTACACTTGATGGCGAAACTCGTCTAATTCATTTAGTTGAAGCAATCTTTCTTCTCCGGCAGCTTGTGAATCCATATTCAACATTTTTACTGCCCAATATTTACATCTATTAATCACTGATGGGGTTTATGCAGCGACAAACTAAAATAAAATCCCCAACAACAACATTGAACCCAATAACCTTATACCTGATTTTTTGGAGTAGGTGCCCTAGAGCCAATCAATTATTGTGGAATTGACTCTTTGTAATAATGTTCGTTAATCAATAAAAGGCATTTTATTCTATATCGCGTAAATCATTATTATTGCAATATGTATTGATATATGTTCTTAGAATGGTAGAACCATGACGAGGGTATCAAGTGTTTCAAATCTTGATAGTGAGAACCCTATGAGCACATATGGTGGCCATTCTAGAAATGTACGTAGCCCCAGTATTATTCTGAAGTAAGGGCACAGATAATACGGTAAGGTTATCATAGTGTTGAACGACCCTATCGAAAGGCAGTGATTGATCTCACTTGTCAAGGTTGTTTGGTGACAACCCGGTGCAACACATAGGTGCTTACTGTAGGCGGATACACCGTTGCAAGTTCACTGGACTGACCCACCAGAGGATTCCATATGGATGGTAACCCCAGTGTCTATGGAACAAATCCTCTAACGAATGGTGGTGCATGTGATCCTTGGACTTGAGATCACCAGAGCGCCTTGTGCATCGATTGGTGCAGTTTGACACTAGCCTAACGCAGTTCTATTAAGAGCTATCAATACGGTGGTGATTGGCTGCATCGAGGAGTGTATCAAGACTATGGTGGATTGACAAAGGATTCATCACTCCCGGGTACAGGAGAAGTTATCTCACGGCGCAATTCAGTATATGGCAATGACACTAAAACTATGGCCACGGTAGGATTGAGTTGTTGCTCTATCCGGATTATAATACAGGTCATTGGTCTGGAAACTGAATACATAATATCGAGAGTAACCGAAGGTTGACGCTATTTCTATGCCTTTGTCTCGTCGAGATAACGAATGATGAAAGGATCAAATTGTACGGTAACCATATCATTGACAGGTAGCTACTTTGCTGAATTCGAATCTATCGAGTGGCCATGATGCCTTGCTAGCGGCCAATCTTGGTCTGTGTATTAGTAAGACGATTAATTGGTGTTAATCACGATACTATACACTGCCGGTATGATGAGGAGCCTATGGGTCACACGCATAGAAGATAATTTAAGACTCAAGAAGAAAGAAGGGCGTTTTCTTCTTTTTGGGCGAAAGGGCATTTTGGTAATTTCACAGTGCAATTAAATTTGCTGAGGTCGTAGCCTTTATTTAGTTTATTAGAAAAATTAAATAAGTGAAATTATGTTTAAATATGTGTTCGCATATATTTAATTAAATCATCATTATTGTTAAATGTTAATATATATATATAGATTAAATATATATTAATTGATTTTAATTGAGATAATGATGAAATAAAAATAAAATATCTAATTGGGAGTGTTTGGTAACATGGGGTATTTGGGTTGGAGCCCAAGCCTATTCCATATGGGAATAGGGCAACTTAAGTTTTAATATGAAAGAAAAAGAGTAGAGATTTTTCTTAAGGGATTTTTCATTTCATTCATTTGATTAAAAAATTGAAAACTTCCAGCCCCTTAAACACTCTCCCACGGCAAATTCATTTTTGCCTAAAATCAATTTCATTGATTTTTCTTCTTGATCTTAAAGCTAAGGAGGATCTAGCAAATCCCTCCATAGTTCTTTGTGATTGTCTTCATGTGGACTACGTGGGTTCGATCCTACACTTGGGTCGGTAGCAAAACGTTCATTAACAGATTTGGAGGAGCCTCCAAACATGCGTATGCTTTTCTGAACTCATGATTAATTTCTGCAGATTTCTATTTTAACATAAACTGTAAAATTGTACCTTTGATCTTGGCTCAATGGGAATGATCCTTGTAATTATGATTTTGTTTTCCGCTACGGATATGGGTCGTTTCCTAACACAATTTACGTTATTTACATATGAAATGATATTGAATATAAAATTTCCAGATTTCATACCAGCGTTTGGAGGCTCCTTTAATCAATACGAATTGCTCCCACTCTAAGATAAGAGTGAACTCTCGGTATCCATACGAAGACAAGATGGTGATCGACTTGTGGTCTCAAGTGCTAGCAAGATACAGAAGCAAAAAGGATGCATAATTTTTCTTCAAGAAAAATTCTCTTCTCCACTAAGTGAAAAATGTGAGAGACAGTGAGGTGAGTGGCTTAGATTTAATTAATGTGTTCTCCAATTTTATTTTAATTTTAAGTTGCCTTTTACATGCAACAAAAATTAAAACCTTAATCTAGTTAGGAATAAATTTATTCCAAGACTAGAATAGTAAATCCCCATTACCAAACAAGGTAATAATCCACATGGCATCTTATTCAAATTCAAATATGAATTTCATATTCATATATTATCTTTATTAATATCATCAAATATTAATATCAAATAATGTATTTAAATTCAAATATGAATTTCATATTTAATATATATTATCTTCACTAATATTAATATCATCAAATATTAATATTAAATTATATATATATAATATTTAAATATATGAATATATTTAAATACATAATCTCACTAATTTTAATTTCAATATGAAATTAAATATAGGCAACGACCTCAGCAAATTTAATTTCATTGTGAGATCACCAAAATGCCCTTTCATCTCAAAAGATGAAAATATCATTTCCATCATAAATGACGAAAATACTGTTTCTCACCAATTCATCCTTAATCTGTCTTCTATGTGTGTGACCCGAAGGCTCCGTATCATATTGGTAGTGAGTAGTCTCGCGATTGACACCAATCAATCATCTCACCAAACATAGACCAAGATTGGCCTTTAGTAAGGCATAATGGCCACCCAATAGATTTAGATTTAGCAAAACAACTTGCCTATCAATGATATGGTTACCGTTAAATAGATCCTTTCATCATTTGTTATCTCATCAAGGCTAAGGTACAAAAATAGTGTCAACCTCAGTTATCTTTGATATCTTTGTATTTAGTTATTGGACCAATGACCGGAATAATAAATTGGATTGAGCAACAACTCAATCTCATTGTGGCCACAGCTTTAGTGTCATTGCCATTCACTGAATTGCACCGTGAGATAACTTCTCTCGTACCCAGGAGTGATGAATCCTTTGCTGATCCACTATAGTCTTGATACACTTCTCAATGCAGCCAATCACTACCGTATTGATAGCTCTGAATAGAACTATGTTAGGCTAGTGTCAAACTACACCGATCGGTGCACAAGGCGCTCCGGTGATCTCAAGTCTAAGAATCACATGCACCACCATTCATTAGAGGATTTATTCCATTGACACTAGGGTTACCATCTATATGGAATCATCTGGTGAGTCTGTCCAATGAACTTGCCTACAGCAAGCACCCATGTGTCATACCAGGTTGTCGGCAAACAACCTTGACAAGTGAGATCAGTCACTGTCTTTCAACAGGGTCATTCAACACTATGATAGCCTTACTGTATTATCTGTGTCCTTGGTCAGAATAATACTGCGGCTACGGACATTTCTAAAATGGCCATTATATGTGATCATAGGGTTCTCACTATCAAGATTTGAAACACTTGATACCCTCGTCATGGTTCTACCATCCTAAGAACATATATCAATACACGTAATTATGATTTACATGATATAGAAGAAAATTGCCTTTCATTGATTAATAAACATTATTACAGAGAGTCAATTTTACAATAATTGATTGGCTCTAGGGCACCAACTCTAACAACATCCTTGGACAATTTAATGGTAAAGCTCATAGGTGTTTTAGCATGTTTTGCATTTTCAAGGTTGAATCTTTTAAGCACGTTCTTTGCATATTTTGATTGTGATAGAAACAAACCAATATCACATTGACTAAAGTCTTAAGAACATGTTTAATTCTCCTACCATGCTCATTTTAAACTCATCTTTCATTAAAGTAATGAACTCTTGCAATTATGTGTGTGAAGGAGAACCAAATACTATGTCATCAACATAAATTTGAGCATAAAGAAAGTCACCACTACCATGTTTAAAAAAAAGAGTCTTATCAGCATTACCTCTTCCAAAATTGTGCTCAAGAAGGAATGAGGTAAGCCTTTCATACCATGCCTTTGGAGCTTGCTTCAGTTCATATAGTGCTTTCTTCAGTTTGAACACATGATCTAGCTTGTAAGGATCCCGAAATCCAGCAAGTTGCTCAACATAGGCTTCTTCCATAAGCAAGCCATTCAAGAATGCACTCTTCACATCCATTTGATAGAGCTTCAACTTTAAGCAACAAGCAACTCCCAAAAGCAATCTGATCGACTCAAATCTGGTCACTGGAGCAAAGGTCTCATCAAAATCAATCCCTTTGACTTGTGTGTACCCTTGAGCAATAAGCCTTGCTTTGTTTCTGACAATATTTCCAAATTCATCAGACTTGTTCTTAAAGATCCACTTGGTTCCTATGACATTAATTCCTTTAGGCCAAGGAAACAAGCTCCATGATAAGTGCTTGAAAATACACTTATACTTAGTGGTTTATAGGTATCATTTGTGGGAAATTAGGATTAATTCGCATGAATTAACTTAATTGTTTCATCAAGGCACTTTTCGGGATCACGGGTATTTTTGTTGTGTTTTCAGGAAATAAGGTTCAAAAATAATATTCGAATAAGAGATGATGTTGGCGAGAGAATTTTTGATGACTGGAAACAAACGGAGAGAGAATCAGAGTTGAATTGAAGAAGTTATGGAAGTTGAAGTAAAGAGAAGATTCTAGATTACATTCCAGCTTGAGCATGCCTCAGTATTTTGAGAATATCTTGAGATGTAGAACTTTGATTAAGACGATTCTTAGACCGTTGGAAAATTGATTCAAAGGGATACATTTCATATGTTTACCACTTTTCCAAATTTCATTGTTATTGAGTTCAAAAATCACCATCTCTGAAGAACAGTGGAATGATGCGGGAAGAAGACATGTAGCTACTGTGCTGCGGTACAGT